CATTAGGTCAAAAGACTCAAACCTTGCAATCATGCTGACACTTGTGAACTGGCAACTATATTGAAATTATCCAGCTGTAGAGAATAGCTTGTAGTTCTTTTTTGAAATAAGAACCTAGTTGTAAACCATATAAAAATAATTATTTTTAAATGTGTAAATACGTGTAAACTTTTAGATAATTGTTTCTTTGATGCTGCAGTAATCTTTTTCTTCTGTAGTAGTTTTAAGGTAAAAATGCTACGTTAAGAAACCGGGACTCTTTTTTTAAACTTTATAAATTACTTTAATTTATGAAGTATTGCTGTTCACAGTGGGTCAGATGTGTACAGACTTCTGGCACATATTTTGTATTTAAGAATCTTCCTCCAGAACTAAAATTGGCAATGAAAATGCCTTATCTTGTATTTTTCACTGTCTGATAAAAAGTGATAGCATTAAAAAACCCAGGAGTTATAACAAGTAGATAGAAGTGGGAACAACCTTTCCTCCAGAAATTTTGTGGCAAAATGCAATGAAAAGCTCTCCCATAAAATTACTTCTAATAATGATTAATATTAAGCCTGAGTTTTCTTTTGTTACAATTAAAAGACCTCAGAGTAGCATGTCTTTTATCCTTTGGGGAGTCTATAATTGCAGAAATATCTCTGACTCTTACCATAAATGCAGATAGGCCTGAGAATCTTGTCAAACTCTCCTGCAGAGAACTTCTAAATTAAGCACATTCCTCAGAGTGGGAACAACCCGTATTTTTCCAAATGTTTAATTCTGTCCAAAGAGTGCAAAAGTAGTATTTCTTCACCCTATGGTAAATATTTTTGCCAAATGAATCAATACAAAAGAAACAATATAAAACTACTCTCCAACCCTTGGRATCTGTAACTGCTAATTTCCTGCAAAAGGAAACCTTGAAGAAATGTAAAACTCAGTGTTCCTTGATTTGTATTGATTTTTAGAAGAATTTGGACCAGTATATGGCAGTTTAATTTCAAGTYTGAATTACAAAGGGCTCTAAGCTGTAATCCACTTTTATTGGGTTGAACAATTGTACAATTTTAAGCCAATGAGTTCTTCAGTGCCTATAGTTGCCCTCCACATGATGAGGGAATAGATGCCATTTTAGAATGGGTCATTGTATGGAGGGGACTGTTTATTTAAGAAATAGTGAATTCCATAGATTTATTCAGCAATCAGAACTCTTGTGTTCAAATTAGACCAGTCCATGTAGTTATAAATGTCTGGGCATTAATGGCAGAGGTGAGAGTGCTGCAAGCAGGCAGTTCCTAGCACTGTAAGCTGGTAGGTCTCTTCCTTATACTGAGTTGTATAAGTAATAATGCATTATTTTAATAAAATACACAAATAAATGCCTGGTAAGCAGTATATATTTGTTATAACTTTATTACAGAGCATTCTGAATATCTGGAATATACTTSGCTCAGAAATGGTTTTAGTACTGGATAATAGTTTGCACTACTTCTGATTTGATCTGGATCTTTTAATGGTTCTTTTGGTCTGCTTTCTTGCAGCAAAGCTGTCTGATACCAAYTTAATTAGTATTAAAAAAGGAGAAACAGCCACAAAGTGTATTCTAAGAACTTTATAACCTACTTTTTTTTGATGCTTTGAAACACAGCTTTCAGCTTGATCCTTGTGAAGCAGAGATCACTTTGCACCTTCTCTCTGCACACRAGTGCACAGGACTGGGTTTTGCCCACTTCTTCCCTGTGCATGTATTGGAACACATAGAATGGCAGAGTATGCATTTAAATAACATACATGAGAAGTGAAAACCAAGGACTTAGGATGCTGTCAAGGCTTTTATGGCTCAAAACTTATTCTCCACAAAAACCCCCACTTTGAAGACCAAGGTTGTTCTTGAGGGTGACTGTACCAGCCCGCAGGAGCTGTGAACAGTAGTTGTGATGAGTGAAGAGAGATGTATATAAATGTGACTTTTCTTCCAACTCATTGGATCAGAATCTTGTTCTGAATACTTCAGGAAGCTGATAACTTAAGATATCTATCCATGTTTGTCTGAACAAGGAGGAAGACTTGACATGTGCTGTATGCTTTGCATTATTGTACTTTAGTGGGTCATTTGAGCCTCACTGTTGGGACTTGGTGCTGCTGCRGGCAGGCTGTCTATCACAGAATACACCATAGGATAACTTCAGAGGGACTTTGGAAAAAATTGTGTGAGGCCTGTTGGACTTGAACATGTACCTCTCTAAATAACTGGGGTTTTCTAATGTTCTCTAGATGTAGTTTGACTTTGCCACCAAGAAGTTATTCATTTTTTTTTAAACTTTTGGACATGTGTACTAGAAAAATCTCAGTTCTGTGCACATAATGGTGGAATATTTGTAGGTAAAAATAAGAAATGGACTTTTGTTTAAAAAAAAAACAAAAACAAAACAAACAGCAAAAACCACACACACAAAAGTAACAACAAAACTTCTGACTACAAGATTGAATACAGGGTGTATCCCCAGCTGGATTTTTTTGATGTGTGGCAGGGAGGGGGGAGGGGTTACAATTAGAATAGCATGCACTGTGGATCGGTGCTTAATTTGTACATAAAAAGGAAAACTTTCTTTGGGGTAGTTTGTATTGTAAGGATAACATCKAAAGGCACTGTATCAGTCATTTATTTCCATTTAAAAGATTATATTTTTGAGCAATGGAAACTGTACATGTTATGATTTATACATTACTGATAGCTAGGAATATAGAAAACCTGTTGCTATGACTCTGAAGATGTATCTGACTTGTATCTGATTTGTACATCTCTGCATCACTACTTTATGCAGATTCTCATGATCATTTATTTAAACAGATTGTAGTAACTGGTACAGTTACAACAGGAATTGTAACGTCAAATCTTTCAGTATATCTCAGATGTGTATCCTTGTAATTAAGCTTAATCCTTTACCAAATGTTTGGCTGGAATTTCATCTTGGAGCAATGACAAAATAGGTGCTGGAACAGATTTCCCTCACCCCAACCCATACTTTATTTATTTAATAGGTCTTGTTTTGTATGTTATGTTTTCCCCCATAACAGGTTTGTGCCTTTTATTGGATATTTATTTAAAAGGAGCTATGATAATTTAGGTTGCTTTTTTTCAGATGTATTCTTGTACAGCTGTTCCTTTATGTGAGTTCCTTCATTTTATAAGAATACAGAATGTGTGGAAAATATACTAGCCACAAACTGGAAAAAAATTTAAGGGTTTATGTTCTATGAATAATTTTTTTAAAAATAAGYCGAAGCACAAGACTGGCTGTGTTGRTATTTTAATTGTGGAACTTCACAATTTGTTAATACGGAAATTGTTCTTTTTTTAAAAACTGCTCATATCCAATTATTTGATGAAACAAGTTTTGGAAAAAAATAAACTTTGGCATATGCAAGGTGTGTGTATGTGATCATTTTTTATGTGTTCTCTTAAGGCTTTCCATAATTTTGATAGCAGTGGCTGAATTAGGGTCCTTGTTTGGCTTGTTACTCCTCCGTTGTTTATAGTGGAGAAGGCTCCAGGGAGACTTTGAGTTTTGGTTGAGTTTGCCTAGAGCTGGATTCATTCCCGAGCATCATCATGAGTGTGGACCGCCTGGAACAGGCACGCTAAGGAAGTGTGCTTGCTGCAGGTGGTCCTTGTTTCTAAATTAAAAAATGCTATTTTTAATAGTTTTGTTTCTTTAAGTTGCCGAGATCTGTTTTCAGTTGTGAGCTTGGACTATTTAATAGTYCGTTCCTGTTGTGTCGCCCTTCCATGTCAGTGATGCAGCGCCGTCCGCAGCAATGAGCCACGGGCTCCGGGGCTGGGCCTGGCGGTGTCACAGCGGCTCACTGTCCCTGCCAGGAAAGGCAGCAATTCACTGAACCGGCTGCACGAGCAGGGGCACGGGGCGTACAAATACAGGGCAAGCATTATTGGGGATCCTTTAGAAATGTTTATTGTAAGTTGTTAAACAGGAAGGCATTGCCCCTGTTGTTTCCTGTCTTTGGCTTGTTCGACACCATCTGCTTCTGGGGAAGGCAGAGCAGCTGCGTTCAGAAACAACGCCGCTCTCTCTGCAGGCACAGGCAGAGGTTGGGATAAGGGACACCCCGTTCCCGTCCTTCCCGCCCTCGGGGATACTGGCACAGACCCTTCCCCGGGATGGGGCGAACAAGGCGCTCGCAGTTCTTGCCGCCGCAGGCACGCACCCACCCCTCCGGGATCCTCCCCGTTCGCACCCACCGCTCCGGGATCCTCCCCGTTCGCACCCACCGCTCCGGTATCCTCCCGGTTCCCACCCACCCCTCCGGGATCCTCCCCGTTCGCACCCACCGCTGCGGGACCCGCCTCATTCCCACCCACCGCTCCGGGTCCTCCCCGTTCCCACCCACCGCTCCGGGATCCTCCCCGTTC